CGCTCACGCTGGCTGCTGGCTACATACGGTAACCCATGGCAACCCACTGTCACAGGGGCTGCAGCCTACGCCGTCGCCAGCGACTCATGGCAGCCCAGCTCCAGGTTGAGCTGTTGTTCAGCATCTTAGCTGTGGAGGGCAGTGTCACTGGCCCTTGTATGTGGGATCCGAACCAGGGCCCTCTGGCATCCCAAACCAGCTCTTAACCATCGCGCCACTCGGCCGGCCCAGGAGTTAATTTTTTTAAGTTTGCTTTTATTGCAAGGTGCAGTAGACTATCTACAGCATGCTACCTTTTGGCAAGAAAAAAGGGAAAACTATTATTATATATATAAAATAACAAAAATCAAACCCGATAAGAGATGGGAGGAGGCAGTGTGGGAGTGAGACTTTTCTGAGTCTATTTTTTAATATAGTCTTAGCCTGTGAGAAATGTAAATAAATGGAAAAAGTAACATCTAACTAAATAAACCTAATTGTATATCAAATTGATAATATAACTGCACAGAAGATAATTAATTCAAGTAACTTTTGTATGTAGTTTTCTGGATTAGCTAAACTGGAACCATTTCCCAGAATCCTTTCCATCATGTAAGACCTGCTTACCCACTTCTTAAATGTATCCCCTCAGTGGGTCCAGAGCACACTCTTCACCACGGCTCTAAGAATTGCATTTGTGAGGGGTAAGTATTAGAGCAACAGCTCTAAGCTGTAAGTCAGAAATGATAATAACTGCTACCATTTTGATGGGATCCATGTTTAACTCTGTGGTGACGGCCGCCAGCTTCTCCTGCAGGACCCCCATCACTAGAGTTGTGCTGAGAGGCCCAGGTAATGAGAGTCGGAATTATATTGCAGTCCCTCCTCATGGGTTCCTGCTCAGCCTCACAGGTTGCACTTTGTCCCCACTTCTCCCACTTCACGTCCACCTTTCCTTCCTGACTATCTGCCCTGAGGATTTTAGATTCCAGCAGCAGATACCAGGCCTCACCCAGACTGTTTAAGCAGCTCCACATTGCATTAGATCAAATCCCTATAATAAATTCCTCATTTACATTCCTAGTGCTTCTGTTTCTAATTAACTATTGACCGGAATATATTCTAAGAACAAAATGAACTACAAATAAAGCTTTAACTTTATTTAGAAAGTTCATTATTGGTAGCAACATTGGTTTTATAATTCTGAAACTATTTGTATTGTCTCAGTGTAGGATAGAGCAAATGAATACATATATTGATTTTGGGAGTCAGGGTTCTTATGTGCAAAAAGTAACAGACACGTGTGGAACACAGAAATGGAAGAACCCTGTGGTATTGGATTTGAATTGGAAGTAGCAGTATGAATGTAAGGTTGAGGTGAAAAATATATGTACATATACACACACATACATAGACACTATATAATTTTTAGAAGAATATATGCTAGTTAATACATAGAGAAGGAATGATATAATAGAAATATATGTAGTGTGTAAGCATATATACTTATAAATATACATATATAAACCAAGTGAAGTACATATATACAAATATATGTGTATATACTTGTAAACTATATAGTATACATGAGTATATATCGTGTATGTATATAGATGAAGACATAGATATGGACTCATATAATCTTAGCTCTGCCCACCCAAAGAGGTACCTAGGAGTAGCAATAAGTACACCTGATGCCTGGATCTTGATTTTGAAATGCCATTCTCCATTAAAAGCAACCAGGGCTCCTTTGAGAAATGGCTGATTCCAGATCTGAGGCAGGAAATGTATAAATTGAGCTTGTACAGGATGCACCTTGGTATACTCAAGAGCAAGGACATGATAGAACTAGAAAAGCACCATTCTGCAACCACCAATGTAATAATTACTCCAAGTCAGGACCATTAATTGTTGCTAAAACTATTGAGTAAAAGACTGGTGGGGAAGAGGACAGTCTTGTGCTTTTATAATACAACCACATAGACCTCTTGCTAATTATAAAGTGAGAAGTGTACATTTACAGTGGCAAGATCTGGCAGTCACTAAATTAACCAAACTATTATTACACTTAGCATCACCAACAGGGGGTCAATTCAACAACATTATGTGAATCCTGATACGGTGCATTATTTACGTAATATTTGAGCTAAAAAATGTTTAACCTGAATGTAACCATAAGGAAATTAATCAAATCGAGAATATGGGATATTATATAAGACAATCTACTCTAACTCTTCAAAAATTCAATATCGTGGAAAACAAAAAGTCAAGGGCAGAAAGTCAAGAAGACTGGTCTAGATCAAAAGAGATTAAAGAGACCTAACAACCAAATGCAATACATGAAACTTAACTGAATCCTGGATAAGAAAACAAACTATTAGAGACAGTTTGGGGACATTTGGGGAAATTTAAATATGGGCTGTAATGTTTTGTTCAGGCAATTAAAAACTTGTTAAGCATCTATTACTATTACTATTGCATTAAGTTTTACCTTCCTACATTACCTGCCTAGGATCTATTCCTAATAAATCTAGTTTGATAATGCCTTTTTTCCCCCCTGATACATTGGCATTAAACCATTTTGAATCATGATTCATAGATGCACAGATAATAAGAGACAAAATTTTTTCTGTGTCTCAGGTTTTGTGTCTTTATGTATCAAGTAGGAATTTTCTCATATCTTAAATTATAGGTTTTGTTTGTTTTGTTTAGCTGAGCCATCCTGTCAACCTGTTGGCAGCTCAGTGGCAGCTCAGCTGGGGCTGGGAATTGAACCGGAGACCCTGTTGCTCAGAGCTCGCACTCTTGAGCAAGTTCTTAACCAACTGAGCCACTCAGCCAGCCTTAAATTATAGGTGTTCTTATAAGTATGTATTTGGAATACACACTTTTTTATTATAAACATTTGCAGCAAAACCTGTCCTGGTATCTTCTTCTTCTTAAAATATTTTTATGGTGTCTCATTATTCTTTTCTTATTTCTTCATTCATTCAACAAATATTTATTACATACCCACGGAGTGCCAGTCACTGTGCTAGGCTTTTTTTGTAATCTGAACAATAATGAAAGTCTTAGATTTTTTGGTTTTTCATTTTCACACTTATTATTGCTCTGGGACAACCTTGTGTACAGTAAACTGTTAAAGAGCAAATCTCTAATAGCATTCAACTTTTACAGACATCAGAGCTTCCGTGACTGTTTTTGTGTTTAATGTCCTTAATGCCGATTTTCAAATCTGTGTGTTGCTTCTGTCTTTGATTCTTAGGTATGAAAACCTTTCTGTGTGATCTTGCTTCACAGAGAAAATAGAGGCTTACAGATGTGAACTCTAGCTTCCAGCTTCCCCAGGTACAAACTTGTGAGTGTATTTGTTCATTCTTAATTCTTTCCTACCTCACAGTATCAAGTGTCACTCCTCATTCGATGCCGTTGGCTATTTCCTTTTTCTCAAAAAATCTGTTACCTTAGATTTTATGACTTCCCGCACTCCTGGTTCTCCTCATAAAAGATGAGTTCTTTCTGGATTTCCTTTTTGGGGTCAGCTTCCACCATTTGCAGATTAATCGTCCATGTAACCCCGGGCTCCATCCTTTGCCCATTTCTCATCTTACAGAACTTTTATTCTCTTACCCATTCCTTTGGTTTTATTTACAATGATGACTTCTAAATTTGTGTCACATTTGAATAGTTCCCCATGACCTTAACATGCAGTTTCTAACAACCTACTAGATGGCTATACCTGAATATGTCACAAGTCCCAAATTCCACAAGTCCCAAACTGATCTCTGCAATCCCCGTTTTCTACTTCAATTGGTGTCAACATTTTTTACTTGTATTTTCAAAAGATGAATACTAATTCCATGTTCTCTGTTGCAGAGGTAACAAAAATCTTTGAGTTAATCCCTGTAATCTTTTTTAGTAATTGAATTCAGTTTCTTCTTAAGTTTTTCAACAATAAATCACATCTTTTCCATATTAGGTGTCCTCCTCTGCAAGAAAATTGGGATTTTTCCCTTTTTAAATTCTTTTATTATTTTGATAACTTTTGTAGCTGTCTTTTTTTTTTTTTGCTCCTGGATCTGAATTTCTGGTGTCAGCATCTGCCATGATCACTTCCCTGCACTTTTATTTTAATGATTTAATATTAGATAATGGAGGCCAAATTTTAATTTAACATTTTTATAAATATATTTGTTTTAGATTAATAGTATATATGTTGATCACAGTTGATATATATTTTATATATTAAAGTGACATAATAGCTTTGAAAGGCAAGTGTCCTAATCATTCAGAACCTTTATTTTATATATATATATATATATATATATATATATATATATATATAAAATGTATGTATATGTAAATTAGTATATCTCTCACACTCTGCACAGTTAGGTGGCACTTTTCACATAAGAACTTTCCTTGCATGAGTATAAACATATCCTCCCTAATTTTGTACAGGACATCATTCACTCTTTAGGAAAGGATATTAGTTGCTAAAATACTGAAGTTAGATGTTAAGAGATTAAGGAGCCAAGAATACTGTTACTTTAATGAGAAGATTGAATATTTTATCATTTTTCCATTTTGTGTTATTTAATACATTCCAAGCTTATTATAAGTGCAGTGAGTTATTGTAGATGAGACTAGGCCCAAAGATTTTGAAAACATTGAAGAGAAGACATAGCTAAAACTGCCATTTAAAACTTATACGCATGAGATTATTGGTGGAGCAGGGCTGTGGTGGTGGCAGACAGCCATGCTGGACTCAACCAGAAGCTGAATTTTACTGCCACTGGTTTACAGAATATAGATAAATGCAGACAGCAGCTTCATAATATTACTCTATGTTTAGAAATTTTTGAATATATAGATCAAGGTTTAAACCCTATGTGGAAGAGTGCTTAGAAAGGTCTCTAGCTAAAAATAAACAAGTTAGAGGCAAAATTGACGTAAGAAAGAAATTTAAAAGCCTTTTGTTTCAAGAACGGACATGGCTAAGAATTGAAGTAGCCAAGGTGAGAATCATCTGTCTTCTTAACTAGCTTATTTTTACTAAGTGTGAAGGTATCTATTCATTCCCTTTGTTGAATTGACATACCTGTTACAAGGTGTGAGCAATAAACAATATGACATTTTTCTTAGTAATGTGGAACTGGAACAGTTATTTCAAGGCCACTCTAATTTTCCTCCAGACACTTGTCCTTGCTGGATGTTGGAAGCTTGAAGTTATGGGAGTTGTAAAACCAGTTTTCTTTTCTCTGTCCTGAAGACTTATTTCATGGTCAAGTTTTCAGCATACAAGTAATTGTACATCTTTGGATGTGATGTGTTTAATGATTCTCCATGGGAAAACAGATCACAGGGAAATAGCTTTGGGAATATTAAATAAGCTTAGTAAATTAAAAAAATTTTAAAGTTAAAAGTTACAAAGTTTTCTTTCTACAATGGGTCTAGATATACAGTGAGTACCCAATTGTTTTTTCCTCAGATACATACATGCATACATACAGTCACCGTTAAAATAACCACACATATTAAGTGTTCTGATTTAGACATATGCTTCTTTGTCTTTTAGGGAGGTTGGAGAAAGCATATGGAGAAGTTGGTGTATTATGCATTGAGACAGATTACACTAAACCAGTTGTTATTTCTGTGGCTAAGACAGACTCTGGTCAGTGGGGATAGTGTTAAGAGTTGCTTGCAGGAGATGAAGAACAAATGGCATGGAGAATAGATGAGACACTATGGTCAGAGACTTTGTGAGGTGTGGGCTCGAGCACCTGGGAAGGGAAGTGCCATGGATGGAGGGAGCACGTCATTCTCCCCACATCTGCACAGAACCCAGCCCTGTTCTGGCACTGTGCAAACAGTGGTTCTGGGGTTCTGGGGGGTGGGGGTGGGGCTACATCCTTGGCATGAGAAATGGGGAGCATGTGAAGGGCGCCCTCGACATTAGCATCAGTGGTTCTCCTTCAGGTAGTGTCAGGGGCAGTGGACAACAGCCAGGGGCAGCTGAAGCAGAAGAGGAAGAACATGGTAGATCCTGAGTGGGACCTGGTTTGTGAATACCCGAAAGGCGCAGGGTCAGTGTGACACCATCCCCGGGACACCATTCACATTTTACTGGATGTGAATCGCAGTTGTGCTCCAGGGAGTGGCATTCACCCAGAATACAATGTCACGGGGGCACCCCTGGAATTGGGCATTGTGGCTGGCTGCCTGGCCCTAGGAAGCATCCCTTTAGGAGACTCCCAGAAATACTTACTGGTTGTTTTACAGGCTTCACACTATCACACTGGTAGAGACTCAAGTCATTGCGATTTTGAGTTCTGAGTTAGTATAATCTCATTTTATTTATTTGGTCTGATAACATCTGGAAATTCTTGTTACTTCGTTTTATACCACTCTTGTCAGGCATTTTTATGTTCCCTCATACCAGGGGCCCAGCTGGAGTCTAAGCAGTGTTCCAGATTCAAGTATATTTGGAGGACTGGTGGCACGTGTTCACCAGCAGCCCGTTTACCTGAGGGCTTGGAGTGACTTGTCGGTGGGTCAAGGACCATGAATAGTATAGTATCTAGTATTTAGATTGTTTTCCATTTCCTCAGCTCTCACTCATACCTGAGTTTTGAGGTAAATCTGCAAAAAGGACACATTTAATTTAAATCCATTCAATATGGAGTTTATAGCAGGCTCCAGTGGGAGATTCACAATGCAGTCCATTCTGGAATGAGCTTGCTTTATGTTCTGAAATAAGATATTTTCTTTATTTAAGATCTGTGCTTTTTTTGTCAAATTAATCTCTCAATAATTTAGATGTTTTTCTTCTATTGTGAATGGAGTATTTTACCTCATTTCCTTTTCTAAGTGATTATTAAAAGAATAGAGAAAAACTATTAACTCATATATTTATCTTCAGTCGTCTTACCAAGTTCTCATTAATTCTAGTAGTTTTTTTTTACCAGTACTTCTTGAGTTTTATCTCCCTCTCTCCTAATACTTATACTATTTTTTCTGTCTTACTGAATGTACTAGCAGCCCAAGACAATGTTAAATAATAATGCTGATACAGCATTCCTGATAAGTTATTGATTTAAGTGATATGGTTTTGGAGTCTTGCTATCTAGATATTTCCTGTTGGATTTGGTTGGTAGTCTATTAAGAGTTTCCTTCTATTTATGTAGAATCTTTATTAGGACTGGTTACTACATTTTATCAAAAATTTTTTCAAAGGGCTGGCCGAGTGGCTCAGTTGGTTAAGAGCTCGCTCAAGAGTTTGAGCTCTGAGCAACAGCGGTTCGAGTCCAGCCCGAGCTGAGCAGCCGCTGAG